TGATAACCATGACTATTTTAATCTTAAATACAAATACCTCAAAACTTTGGGGGTAAATATGAACACTGACTAAAACATTTGCTAAATGCAGGAAGCTGTGTTGACCACCAAAAAAAAAAAAAAGAGGGCGGGGGGAGAGGAGAAGAGACCACCCTGGAACCATTCATTAATACACCCCTTCACTATATCAGAACTATGAGTTATTTGGCACTATTTCCTAATTGCTATTATTACTACTTACCTCTCCAGTCCTAGTCTCTGGTCGAGATAACACTGATGCAGAAATTGGTCTATATGCAAGTCTGGATCCAGCTCGGATCTATTAATGAAAAGAAAGTAAAAACTTCACGTATTAAGAATACAGACTACAGTCGTCAGTGACTTTTCTTGTAACTATAAATTCTAAAGAAGAACACAGAAGAGAATGAGCAGAAATTCATTTATCTGTGCATTTAGCTTGGCTGTTTGGTCATTCTGAATACACGAAGCCAAGCTAACAACACTTCATGCTAACGAATTGTAAAACGTGCTATCTAATCTATTTGTAAACTAAAATCCTAAGAATAATTAGTTACAAAGTGACTGAGTTGCTGTGGAAGTTTCAATAATTGTAGCAATTCAAGTAAGTTAATGTGGGCCGACAAGAATGTTAGGAGTGTCAGTATAAATGCTGTCATTTACAACAGCCCAGCAGTCAACAGGGTTCCCGCTTTTTCCAAAGTATTCCTAAATTTCCATTAATTGCAAGTTTAGTACAGTCTAAGCAGTTCTATGGCAGCTTAAGAACCAGTGAAACGCTCTCTCGATAAGGACATCTTGTAGCCTGGCTTCTCTGCCCTTGAGTGTCCACGACACTAAGGTCACGGAAGATCCCTTCAGAACCAGGACCTGATTCTTTAGGACAAATCCTTTAGATCCAGACTTCACTTAAGGCCTTCAAAAAGCAAGCTTCAGGGCTTCCCTACCACCTTCCTCCGCCCACACAAGGACAGACACGCACGGGAAGCGCAGCTGCGGAGGCAACTAGGCCTCAGGGGCACCCTCCTAACCTCCCTGCACCCCGACCTACGCGTCCACCCCAACTCCACAGGGACCGGGAAGTGGGGGAGGGGCGCGCTCAAGGAGCAAGCAAGGAGGCTGTGACCTCCGCCGAGTGGGCCTGACAGATAGGCCTCGGGAGACGCATGGCGGGGGAGCTGTCTGCAGGCCGCAGGATTGGGAGGGAGAGAGGGGAGGACATGGGGCAAGGGTGAAGGAGAGCCAGTCCCTCGGCATGGACTCTGGGCCGAGGCCCAGGTTACACACCAGAGCGGGGGTGCGGGCGAGCTTGGCGCAGGCGAACATCTTTCCTCCTGGCGGCGTGGCGTGGATATAGGTGACAGGCGACGTGGGCTCCTCTCCCGCTTCCTCTCTGCGGAGCGGAAAGAGGCTTAAGGTCAAGCGTCCCCCCTGGGGCCTGCCCTTCCCACCCTGGCCCCGAGGGCCCCCGCGCAGGCCGCCGGCGTGGCCGCGTGCCCGGGAAGCACAAGCCCGCCCGGTGGATGGGGCTCGGCGGCCCGCTCCGCCCCGGCCCCGCGCCCTCCGCTTACCTCCGCTTACCTTCCGAGGCGGCGTCGGCGGCAGCGGCGGCAGAGGTCGAAGCAGTGGGGCTGGGCGCGCAGGCGCGGTGCGGCTCTTATCCTCGCCGCAGCACCCGGATGGAGAAGGCGGGGGAAGACGCTCAAGGTCACTTTGTAACAACTTTATTGGTAACCAGCAGAGGAAGACAGGGACAGGCACTCAGGCTGGAAGGGCGGTGAGATGGAAAGGGGCCCACTGCAGACTACCGCGCGTGGTGGTAGTGTCATTAACGCTGAAGATAATTGTTCATTTTTGTCGCTATTGCGGGCTGAGCCTCTCAGGAGTTCTTACCACCGAGCTACAAGCCAATCCTCTTTTCACTTTTATTTCAGACAGGGGGAGCAGCTCAGGCTGGCCTTCAGCTCAGTGTGTGACCGAGTGGGGCCTTGAACCTGTGATGGTCCTGTTTCAAGCCTTCCAGGTAGCTAGGATTACCACCAGGTCCAGCAGGATTAACCTAAAAAAGGGCTTTTAAAGACGGCTAATTTTTTCTTTAGAAAGCAAGACAGACAAGAAATATTGGTATAAACAAATGAGCGTTCAGGAACTTTGGAGCTTTGTAGATCAGGCTGGCCTCCAGTGCGGAAATCCTCATGCCCCTCTCGTCCAAGAACTGGGATTAAAGGCATGTGCTGCTGTGATTGGCTTTATTCCACCATTATAGTTAGAGGTATCAAGAGATAATAATGTATCATATTTTGGACTAAAAAGTCACTGAATATTTTTTCAAAATCTTTTCAGCACCTATTTTTGGTAACTTCGAATAAACCATATGAATGCAGAAATGTCTCAGGTAAATGGCTGTTGTTGAACTTCTGGTCTTGTTAATAGATTTTTAAAAATATGTTTTGAGATAAAAGAATTACACAAATTCCCCTCTGTTTTAGAGTTTTATTGCTGTGAAAAGACATCACGACCAGGGCATCTCTTATAAAGGAAAATGCTTAATTGGAGCTGGCTTACATTTTCAGAGGTTTAGTCAATTATTATGGCAGGAAGCATGGCACAGTGCAAGCAGGCATGGTGCTGTAGAAGGAGCTGAGAGTTCTACACCTGGATCCACAGGCAGCAGGAAGAGACTGTGAGCCACTATTTAAGCTTCTGATACCTTAAAGCCTGGTCCCTTCCCACTTCCACCAAGAAGGCCACACCTCCTGATAGTGACCTCCCTATGGGCCTATGGGGGCCATTTTTAGTCAAACCATGAATATAGATATTTGTTTACATGTATATTTCTAAGTATGTATATTTCTCAATATAAAAATATGAACTGTTCAGTCTGTATAATGTTTTAACTGTGGTGTTTTCCACAGCCCTCTCTCCAGCCCCAGAAAAATGACCATTCTTTCTGTTTTTCTGAACTTGACTATCTACTTCATATAACTCATACATTATCTTTTTGTAACTGGCTGTTGTTTCTTTTAATTTTTAGAGACTTTTTATTCTTTGTGAGTTTCACATCATGCATCCCAGCCCCCCTCACCTCCCTATTACCTCATATCCACCCTTTGCCCTTGCAATCTCCCCTCCCAAATAAAACACACAAATAAAACAAAACAAAGCATGGAAACCATCTCATCCTGGAAGCTGTAGTATGTCACAGTGTGTCCCACAGTAGATCCCTCTGTCCACGCGTCTTCACTTACAAATGTTCATTGCAATGAGTCATTGTTCTGGTTCGTGGTCTCTGGCTTCTGTGACACCATCAATATTGTATCCTCCCTGGGACTCCTATCATTATCCTATTGTTGCCCTGTGTCATGGAGATCCTGAAGCTTTGGATCAATGGGACTAGTCCTTTCAGGAGTCCTAACCACCGGCAGAGGATACGATTTTGGGGTGGGCCAACTCAGAGTCCCAGATCTGGTCTGGGTGGTAGCTGAGCTGGTGAGCACACTGGCTCTCCCTTATCCACACCACCAGGGCGAGTTCTCCAGCACTGCTCGGTTAGGCCACCTAATGCCGGCATTTGCTGGAGGCAAGGACAGCTCTCGTGACCTTGTGGGTGGCTTAGCTGCACCCGCGCTTCCAGATTCCCAGCCAAGGTGCAGGGGCTAGTCTCCCAGGTGCTGCAGCCTGCAAAGGGCTGGGCCCACTCTTCTGAGTGAGGGGGCAGGGCTAGCTCGCTCGTCTCAAACCCTCGGGGTCAGCTCTCCGGATTGCCACAAATTCCTACGTACAAGGGTGGGCATCACCCTTGTATCCACAACACCTCATGGCAGACAAGTGGCGGGGCCAACTCTTCCCGTCTCATGACCCCAGGACCAGCAATCCTGCCTGCCTGCCACAGGTGCGGGAGTGGGCATCACCTCTGCACCCACAGTTCCTCATAGTAGATTGGGGGGGCAGCTCTCCTATACTCTAGCCACTGGGGCTGGCTCATCTGTGCCCCCACTACCAGGGTCAGCTCCGCTGTGCTGTCCAGGCAAGACTGCAAGGACCCCTCTCCCGAGTGCTGCAGCTGGTGAGGGGCAGGGCTAGCTCTCTTGTGGACTGCCAGGAGTGACAAGGGATGGGATGGGGGTGGGTGGCGGCCATTACCTCTGCGCGCATGCCACCCCACGGTGGACGGGTGGAAGAGTCAGCCTCCCCACACTCACAACCTCAAGCCAGCTCACCCACATCGCTGCCAGCAAGGCCAGCTTCATCCTGCTGCCTGGGTGAGGTACAGGGCCAGCTTTCACGCTCCCATAGCATCACAGTCAGTGAGGGGCGGGGCCAGTTCTGTGCAGCCTCTGGACATCTCCGTGGTTCCTGGCAGCTGCCCCGACCAGGGATGTCCCCGTGTTTTCTAGTGGTGATATGATCCGTGAACATTGACACTGACCCCTGCTGCTGTGTAGCCATGGACCCAGTGGCAGATCGGGCTGGGCTTCACCATGGCTGGAGGTGGCGTGGCTGGCCACTCATAACAGGCTACCTACTCCTCTCCACCCTCAAGTCTCCAGTTCCATCTCTTTTCATGATGCCCAAGCTGCTCCACTTCTCTCCCTTTTGACCACCGCATGTTTGCATACTGTGATGGCACAGAAGCAGGTTGACCATGTGGCTGGTGGGTCCCTGGGTGACATTCTCTGGTTTTCATGGTGTGGTGCAATTGGGTGTCTATGGCCCACCTGTGCTGAGTGCCAGTGGGTACGTCTCCAGCAGCTTGGCAGTCTGCAGGTTTGTTGTTCTACTCCCTTGTTCCACTGTGTGGTGGTAGGCGGGGCTCTGAGTGTCTATGGTCTGCCCTTGCCATGGTGGACGGGGGACAGGTCTATGGGCATCTTTGCTGCCCCTGGGAGACATGGCTGAATGCAGGTCTCTGTCTTCTTACTCCCTTGCTGTGTTTCCTGGATTTGATTTGTTTTTTTTTTTTTTTTTTTTTTTTTTTTTTTTTATGCATCCTAGGTATAAAACAGCTTTGGCCACCAAGCCAGACACCCAGCTAGGATGGACAAAGGTCTGCCATCTGTTCTGCCACTGACTGATATAAGACCACCACCACCACCAAGGTGTCTCTTTGCCCGTTCTTCCTGAGAGGGTCTCATGTATCCTAGCCTGGCTTTGAACTTGCTATGTGGTCAAAAAAATCACTATGAATTGCTGGGAGGTTCATAGTTATCTATGAGGGAAACAGTAGGTTGGAGGAGACAACAGAAACTAAGCTTTGTTGTTGTTGAGACAAGGTCTCTACATAGTTCTAACTATCTGGGAACTCACTATGTAGACCAGGCTGGCCTTGAACTTAGAAATCTGTCTGCCTCTGCCTCCTGAGTGCTGGGATTAGAGGTGTTTGCCACCACCACCTAGCTGTCTTAAAACACACACACACACACACACACACACACACACACACACACACACACACCTTTTATAAATATTTGTTTTATTTGTATGAGTGTTTTGCTTGAATATGTATATGTGTATACTTAGTAGGTCAGAAAAAGATATCAGATCCCCTGGAACTGGAGTTGCAGATGGTAGTGAGCCATTATGTGGGTACTGGGAACCAAACTTTGGTCTTCTGTAAAAGCAGTAAATTCACTTACTTAACCACTAATCTTCCTATTAAAAAAATTTTTTTTATTAATGTGTCTTTATATATGCCTGGGTGAATTCTGCCATGTGTGTGAGGGTACTCATGGAGGCCATGGCAGGAGACTGGATTCCCTGGCGCAGGTGGTTATGAGCCAATTGACATGAGTGCTGGGAACCAAAATTTGGTCTTCTAGAAGAGCAGAAAGTACTCTAAAGCCCGGAGTCATCTCTCCAGCCCCCTTTTCTTCAGCTTTTATTTACTGCTTGCTTTTTGGTTCTCACAGAATATCAGTCCCCAACGACAGAGGATTGTTGGGTTTGTTGCTGTATCCACACAGTTTAGAGAATGCTTGGCTTACTAAGTAACTGATTAATTTGGGCAGTCAGTAATTATTGAGCAATAAGGTTGAAAAAGAATACAGAAATTGTTAATCTTTTATTTCCATGTGTCTGTATTATTTGATATGTTATAGTAAAAATGGATTACTTAAAAATGTAAAAATCAGTACTTTAGCGACGTTTTAATAATTCACAGTCATCATAAAATAATACCTTCTCTATTGTGCTTTCATTAATGAAAAAAAAGGTTAGTATGACTAAATGAATACTAAATTTCAGCTCCTGGTATGGAATTGGATCTACTTTAGACAGTAACCCTACTCAATATTCTTCAACTTATATTCAAGCTCTTACTGTATGTAGGGGTAAGCTACCCCTGTTTGAAAATATCATGTGCCTGTATGTATGGCTTTGTATCTTTGTGTTGACTAGGATTATTTTGTATACAGAAAGGTTTTACATGAGTTTCAGTGGGTTTGTTTGGTTCTGTTTTGTTTTTTGAAAATAATCTGTTAGCATAAGTCCCCATTTTCCCTCGAGAAATCAATACAATCTATTTTTTAGAAGACCTAGGTATTTAGCATATGCTTAAGAGATGAGAATTTTTTTTAACACTAACAAAATATCTGAGAGAGTTCTTTCTTTTTTAAGATTATTATTATTATTATTATTATTATTATTATTATTATTTTTCAAGACAGGGTTTCTTTGTGTATCCTTGGCTGTCCTGGACTCACTTTGAAGACCAGGCTGGCCTCAAACTCACAGAGATCCACCTGCCTCTATCTCCCTGAGTGCTGGGATCATAGGTGTGTACCACCATGCCAGGCATCTTTGTTTTTTGTTTTTTTCTTTAAAAATTATTTTTAAATTAGGTGTGTGTGTGAGTGTGTTTATTTGTGTGTGCATGTCTGAGGAGGCTCCAAACATGGGATTTCCTGGAGCTGCCTAATATGGGTGTTAAGGAGTGAATTCTGATCCTCTGGAAGAGCCTTTCTTCACCTTTTCTTCCACCATTGTCTGTATTGAGGGTATAAGAATCTCAGCTCTAGGTACAAAAGGGTATTTATTGCTAGACCTTGCTTTTTCTTTTCTGAAACTTCTTTAGATGAGTTTTTGGAGAGCTTTTGTTTTGTGTTTTTTAAAGACATGACCTCATATAGTCCATGCTGGCCTAGAACTCACTGTGTAGTCAAGGTTGACTCCGAGCTCTCAATTCCCTTGCCTCCACCTCCTCTATCCTGGGATCACAGGATGAGCCACCTTGTCTGGCATGGAGGGTCCTTTTGGTAGGTGGAACGCTGCTTCAGTTCTGTCTCCTCCATAAGATGTTTATGCCCTACTCCTCAGAGCCCGTGAATGTGTTGCCTCACATGGTCAAAAGGGATCTCCCAGATGAGATGAAGTTAAGGAGATTGAGATGAGGAAATTATCTTGTATCTGGATGAGCACAATTAATTGCAGAGTTTTTATAAGTGAAGCAGAGGCGAGTCAGGAGATATGGTGATGGAAGCAGAGAATGCTTTTCAAAGGAAGTGGCCACTTGCCAAGAATTGTGGGTAGTTTCCAAGATCTAGGAAGGGCTCAGAATAGATTCCCTGTACAGCTGTTAGAAGAAGCACAGAGCTTCCAACACATGGAGTTTAGTTTCCTGAGACCCAGGTAAGACTTCTGAACTCCGAAACTACACGACAGTAAATCTGTGCTGTTGCAAGTCACCAAGTCTGTGACAGTCTGTTATAGCAGCATTTTTAAAAACACTGTCAAGGTCTTGTCAGATCCCATGTATGGTCCATGAATACAAAAGCACAAGTCAAGGGGGTGAAGCCAAAGCTGTGATTTGGAATCCAGGCTGCTGAGTTCCCCATTGTCACGAGAGTAGGCCATTTGTTATGGGTCTTACAAAGATATGGCAAAGATATGAACAACAGTAGCAGGCAAGTGAGGACATGATCTCCGAGAGCAGCGAGACCAGGCTTTTTCAGGGCTCTTAAACTTTTGAGAGATACTTTGTAACTGTGTCTGCTTTACTTGAGTAACATTCATAGCGAACTCAGGGTCTTTAGTTGCCAAGTGTAGATACAATCCAAATATGTGAGGCCAGAAGGCAGCTGCAGAGTAAAAACCAAAATCTACAGAGTTAGGGTGTGTGGGTGTGTGTTGATGCCCACCGCTATAGCAGCAGGCGAGTATAGTAGGATTAAAGACAAACTCAGACCGAATTCCTTTGCTGCAGCCAGACTATCTAGACAACCAGCATTACCCTTGAGGTTTTCCGAATTCCTTCTAGAGATCTCTTGCCTCAGCGTTTTTATTTAATTTGGATCATTAGCCTGCCAAAAGACTGACTCTCATCCTCCTTGGAACATGCTTTGATATCTGACCAACTTCTTTTTTAAAAAAGCAAAATGATCTTTTAAAAATCATATGGAACTTATGCCTGATGTTGAGGTTTTTGTTAGGTTGTCTTTGGCACTTGGTGAGAGCATTATCAGCCCAGATGAGAAAATTTCATTTAAATTTTGAGTCTGTCCATCCATCCATCCATCCATCCATCCATCCATCCATCCATCCATCCATATAGTCATACATGACTTACCTGCCTCATAGTTTTTTTAAGGTAGATAGTTAATAGTATGATTCCTTATGCCTTTAAAGACATTTTAATTATTTTACTTTCCTCTCTTCTTCTGTATTCATCTCCCCCATCTTCTGTATTTATCTCTCTGCTTCTTTAATTAGAGCCTCCATTTCCCCATTCCCATCACTTATACCTTGCTATTCCCCTTTCTGCACCACCCCAACTTTAACAATGGTCCTTTTTAACTTTCTTGGTTTCTGCAATTACTCCAGGATATGTACTTATATAAAGATTTTGAGCTAGGAGCCTCAGATGAGAAAGAACACATGACAGTTGTCTCCAGGTGCCCTCTTGAGTTGTTGTTGGTCAGAGTTGCCCAAATTATACCTTTTTTGTCTTTGTCCTTGGTTGCCCCAGAGGTGAAAGGTGTGCCTACTTCTGATAACACCGTGCCCCTCAGACACAGGACACAGAGACACCTGAAGCAGAACTGACCTGAAAGTTTCCTTCTTGAGGAATATAGGTACCAGAAGGTGCCATACAAACTTCCAAAGAAGGGACACAACCAACAGTCCTACCCAGCTATGACACCTGTAAGCCACGGCAATGACCATGGCACTATACTCCTGAGGCTGAGGTAGTGGTATGCCTATCTTGGCAGTAATAACAGCTCTCTAATTGGACCTAAGATCTTCTCAACAAGAAGGGAATCATGCCTGGACCCTAGCCAGGGATGCAGGGTTAGCAAAGTCATAAATCTTAAAAAAGAACCGACAACCATCACTTTAATAAGCCAGTATTGACTCCCATATAAATATTTGTCCTTATACCCACTAATGTAGTCCTCACCCCTCATCATAAAAGTGCAGCATCATCAGGCATTACAGAAATGCCGCAATGACAAACTGCTGGTGGCAGTCTCAGCAGTTGGGAGGCAGAAGCAAGAGGATCCCTGTGAGTTTGAGGCCAGCCTGATCTACATAGCAAGCTCCAGGACAGCTAGAATTACACAAAGAGACGCTTTCTCAAAAAAGAAAAAAAGTGAAAAGAAAAAAAAAAAGTAATTTCACATCTACTGAGATGACCATTATTTTCTTTTAAAAATGGAGTCAGGAAAAAAAATGGAGTCAGGTGTGCTAGCACATGATGGTAATCCCAGCTACTTGGGAGCCTGAAAACAGGAGGATCATATGTTCATGACTGTCTCAAAATAAAGAGCTGTGACTTGGGCTGGGTGGTAAAAAGTAGTAGAAGGAGCAATCTTCCATGCCCTAAACAAACAAATAAAGAATGGGAGGAAAAGAGAAAAGGAGGAAGGAATGAAGAGTAACCAACATTTAAGAGTGAATGGAGGCAAGGGTACAAGATGGCGGCACAGATCTCACACTGTGTCTGATCAGCAGGGCAGCAGTGACTGCACATGGACTAATAGACCAATCTGCGCACTCCAAAACATCGGCGACTGTGTTTCAAAGGTGAGAAGAAACTCCACAGTAAGGGAAACAACTGGTCTGACCTCCTGTACCCAGCTAGTTCCCAGAAAAGTTTCCAGGTTCCTGAAGGCTTGGGGTCTCCAGCCTTTA